CCCCCCCCCCCCTCCCCACACACACAATATACCAATCACAAAGCTTAACCTCAATAATCTTTCGGTGCATTCCTGGATCAGGATCAGTGATACAAGGTCACTTGGATCACAGTGCCTCGAAGGAACCAATAAATCTGCGACCAGAGTGGATTCATCAGTTACTTTGATGCACCATGATCTGGCGATCTTGAATCACTGATCCTGATCCAGATCACCCCAAAGCCGAAAGGAATGCAACCATTTAATACTGGTTTATCCAGTTAACATTGATGTGGAATTGTTAAGTTGGATACATCAGTCTCTCTTGGTTTTTATTCACAACTGACCCTTTATGCCCCACAACTCCCCCCCACCAAAAATAAAAAAATAAAAACGATTTAACCAGTTTCAAGCTTGATTTAGTTAATTTATTTTATTTCTTTGTAAGAGTGTTGAAGGAGAAAATCACGAGAAAGCTGTGGATCTGTTGAAAGCAGCTGAAGGTGTGTTGGTAAAAAGAATAAAGCTGCATTTTAGTAACTTATCATTAGCCTTTTGTCAAATATAGCGGGGGATTTTGAATTTTGTAAATTTGTTTAATATAACCCTTTATGTCTTGAAAGACCCATTCGCAAATAGATTCAAAATAACTTGGCCAGTAATTTCAGAGTTAGCAACTATATCAGAATGACCACGAGATTCATAAAATGCCCTGGGTAACATGAACAGAAAGCCAATATTGTTATTTTCTAATTGTTTTATCAGTATAGTACCAAAAATTAACTTAAATCATAATTATTTGTTTGTTAATTTTTTTTAGGAAGTGTTCGTTTGGTTGTCAAATTCACCCCAAAGTGTGAGTATATTTTAAAATACATAATTTTGGAGAAAAGGTGGTTTACATCAATTTTGCTTTTGGTTAGAAAATTTAACTTTAGTGCATTCTTGGACGTATAATTTATAAGAACATCATGTTATTTTTGTTTAATATTGTTTTGAGTAAGGCAGTGGTCCTCTACTTCTTATTCCATTGATTAAATTCTAATTAATTTTGCCTCTTCAGTGCTGGAGGAAATGGAAGCTCGATTTGATAGACAGCGTGGATCTCGCAGGCGCTGATAGGTAATGGAATTGTTTGTGACAGTTAACTACAACTAGTAAGCTAGAACATAAACAGAACTCTGTCCAGGACTTTGCATTTTAGAGTACTGAAATTTTGGTGCTTTTTTCGTTTCAGACTTATCTCTGGTGAATTTCATTTCACTTGGAGTGTTGTTTTCCATTGGCAATCTCAAGGAACAGACAANTTTGCAATTTAGAGTACTGAAATTTTGGTGCTTTTTTCGTTTCAGACTTGTCTCTGGTGAATTTCATTTCACTTGGAGTGTTGTTTTCCATTGGCAATCTCAAGGAACAGACAAGCAGAACACGATATCCACCATGAATTTTTTTATTTACGGAGTGTTATTTCGCCTTATAGTCTTTTTTAAACTTCCAGCCCAAGTTGTTTGAAGACTGGATAATGCTATCCACCAGATAAATTTCTATCCAGTGGATAAGTGTTAACAAAACAAACTACACTATTCGCTGGATAGTGATTCATCATTTATCCGATGATTGGTGTTATCCACCTTTTGAACAAGCCAGGCCTGTGCATTTTAATCAAAAGTATAGGCACTCTTAAACAGTATAACATGCAATGCAAAAATATTTACTTGCATTTTTCTTCTTAGTCTAGAATAAACAATTTGTAGGTTTTTCTGATACACTTTGAACTTTGTAAACCCAAATAAACCTGTAGTCAATTCTTTGCAGTCAATAGTTTATTGTTTTCCCTTTTTCTTAGCTTGGGTGTGATGGTACATCTTTCAAGGTCTTCTCTGGGAACGTCAACATAATCACAACAATGATCTTTATTTTCCTTCATTTTAGAACTACATGTTATTTGGCCCGCGGATAGCAAGTGCTAATCTAGGCAGGCCGTTAACTGCCTATGCATAGAACTAGATTAATTAAATAACAATAAAAACAATTTAAGCAACCTAAAATGCATTATGCACAGTCTTGTCTCTCTGCCAATGTTTCTGTGCATTTATTTTGTACAGAAATGGGGAAAGGTAAATACATCATGGAAAGAGAAAAGCTTTCACCTTTCCCTTTTTCTCCTCTAAGCTGACAAACCCCTTTACTTTATTCTACAATGTTCTCCTCTTGATTAATCTCCTCTTGATTAATCTTTGTAGGAGGCTACTAAAATGTAAGATTCAAGCAAAAAATTTAAATTGGTTAGAACACCCTCTGAGAAAGTTCATGCTAAATGCCATACTACTAACTCAATGAAAATGCAGAACAAGCATGAGCTGAGAATTTACATTTTGATAATTAAAATAAATGAGTGAGTTGCCCTGGACTTGTGTTTTCATCAAGTTCTAGAAACACTAAGCCTGGAAGAGCTCAAAAAAGATGTGCAGACACTTGTCTTTGGCTTGTGTGTCCAAACTTCCAATAGTGTTT